GTTTCTTGGGACCCAAGTGGAGATGTTAGGAATGGAATTCGGAATTTTGAAAATTCCGACTACTCAGGGAATTTTTCGGCAAGTTGCTAACCCGAAAATTTTGCTTGCCGCTGCCAAACGGCAAGCCGTTTTTTCGGGTCAGCAACTTGCTATTTTAAAAAGCAAGTTGCCGTTTAAATGCCATCTGAACGCAGCAAGAGAACGGCAACTTGCTTTTTTCACGGCAAGCAAGTTTCATGCATGCGGCAACTTGCTAATTTGTCCAGCAACTTGCTGATTCTGCTCAGCAACTTGCCAAATGGCTCGCAACTTGCCGTTTGCTTGCCCAAAATTCCCTGAGTAGAATATTTCCAAAGATTTTTTTTTCCGAGATTAGAAATTTTCAGATCACGGTATGTCAAAGACGCAAGCGAAAAGTTGGCTTCCAGGTCTCGAGTGGAGTTACTTTTAGAACATTTTCGCATTTTTAAATATGTTTTTCAATTGTTCGCGCCTTGGTGATAGGAAAGTGGGATTCTACTTTGAATTTGAAATTTGAAAAATTCAGAAAATTCCGAAAATTAATAATCGGAATTTTCGAAAATTCCGAAAATACTATTCCGAAAATCCCTGTTATAGACAACCGTATTGAAGAAGGATCGGAAAACCAAAACACATGAGAACCTGAAAAAATATGTGAACGCAATAAAATCCAAGCGTCATAGAAAACATAAAAATTCCAGATGCACACAAGATGCTGTTCAAAATTTTATAGTTTTATGTATTTTCAAGCACAAGAATGAACCGAATGAACAATTAAATCAACATGATGTCGTTGTTTTGACCCTTTTGAAGCCTTCTCAACTTCTCCATAAGTGACAACCCGTTTTCTGTTACAGAACAGATACTTGAATTGATGCCGGAACTCGGCGTTCAACAACAAATAGACAAAGATGTTGATGCCTGAATTGATGCATGTGAAATAAGTTGATGGCTTTGAAACGAATTTGACAACCTTAAGAAATAAATGACAAGGGATTAGGAATGAAGAATTTTAAACCTCTTCAAAATGAACTTGCAGAATAGAAATTGAGTTAGGGATCGAAACAAGAACGAATGAAATGAAGGAAATGACAAGACTGTATCGGACGTTTATGATTTGGCGACGGACCAATCTGGAAGAATACTTTATTATTGAAATAATGTACCTGGAACAATTGCAACAATGTTGAATTACGATTTTTCGGTGTAAGCCTTTTTTATTACGGAGTGGAGCACATTTACCCGGATCAATAAAACGGGTATTCCTTCTATTAGAGGGTCCCTTCTATTGAAGGGGGCCTTCTAGTACAGGTTTTACGGTATCTTTAGGCATGAGTATCTTGGAAGCACGAAAATTGGTAGGAATATAATTTTACGTTTGATTCAAAGCTACTGAAGTTTTCAACGCGATTCCTCAAGTCTAGGTATTGTTATAATTGTCCAAAGATGAACGACGTAATGTTTCATGCAGGGATTTTCAGGAGATGAAGCAACTTTGAAAAGCGATAACTCAGCTCAAAATTGCTCACATATTTTGAAAGTTGGCTAGTTTACTGATCAATTATTTTTATTTTGGCACTCCAAATTTAAGCCCAGTACAAGGATCTACTCAAACTTTATGCTAGTACAAACTTTTGTCCCGGTAAATGCGTCATCTTAAAATTATGTATTAATTCCTCACCTGTTGATTGTCGAAGACGCCTTTATCATTGTTATACAGTTTATGAGAAAACTGAAGAAATATCCGAATATATTGATAATATAAATGAACGTAGCATAGTCAGTTCCAAATGCTGCTTTTCGACCACACCAATAGATGACCTTCAAACATACAAAAATAAACCAATCACTCTTTTAATAATTACCTTCACATCCCTATTGATATATGCTATCACAAATCCAATCAATAAGGTTGGTAGCAGAATAAAAAGTGTTGATCCAAACAGGAAACTCGATCTGAAATTATTTTTTATCGATTAAAATAATTTTAAGAGATTTTCAAAAACCGATTCCTGCCAGTTTTATGGAACCAAATGGGAGTAAAAACCGCGAGAGCTCGTTGAATTCCAATAACCATTTGTACCACAGGTGGCCAGATGTCTCCTGGAAAAAGTTGGATATGTAGCACACAATATGTAGCACACTACAAAAGCTCTTTAGTCTCACCGATTCCTCTCAAAATGAGCCAAGGCTCAATAGCACATTGCCATGCGGTTCGGGTGGGAAAATGATGAGTTTGAATGACTTCTGTATACAATTCAACTCGATTCTTTCCCATGAAAAGGATCGCCAAAGTGTTGAAAGTGTCAGCCAGACCGAGAATCATTAAAATCTAAAATCGGATCATTCATTATTCTGCTACAAAAAATGGAGATGTGGAAAAGAAACGCCTGTGACCGTGGCTGAAGGTAGGTCCCACAACAAAAACTACCGTAACGAAAGACGGAAAATAAAAGTTTTAGATAGTGAAGGATTGACTGAAAACGCAAAAAATCGAGAAATCGAACAGGTAAAAAATATTTTTTGGGTTACGGTAGTTATCGTTGTGGGACCTTCGGCCACGGCCACATGCGTTTCTCTGCCACAGCTCCGATTTTTTGAACCAGTATAATAGAGAAAAAATTGAAAATTATGTGATCTTACTCTGTTTCTGTGTTTCTTCCGTAACGTTGGTGAGGACAGAAATACAGAAAACAAAACGATATTCAGCGAAAAGCAGATGGCTCCAAAAAATACATTCATTCTGAAAAAAGTTATTTTTTAATTTTATCAAACTTGTTAATAACCTGTGGATAGAGACATAATCATGAAGATCTTCCAAAAGTTTATCAGTGACAATTGAAACACGTTCACTGCTTGCATTCATTTGATGATTAGAAGGCAAATTTACATTTTACAAAAAACGAGAGAAAACGATATATAGAGAATTATAGAAATGTGGGTTGGGGCTGAGATGGTATGACAAAGGAGAGGAATGCTCTCGATTCGATTCAGAAGAAGGGATGATTGGAACTAATTTGATGACGAGAGAGAAAGAGGATCGCACTCTATGTTTTCAGAAAGAAACTGAATAGTCTCGTGTTGTGGAAATTAGAGTATATACAAAAAGAGTTGCGAAAATGTACAGGTTTTTGTTATTTGTTGTCCTTTTTACAGGAAATCAGATGGAAATTTCTGGATTCGGAACTACTACAACAGCAAACGAATAAAGCAAGGGTTCAACAAAGTATTTCATATTTTAAGGGAGTTCAAGTATCACATAAACTTAACCCCATTATAATTCTGGTAAAAAAATCTGAGCTGTGGAAGAGAAATGCCGGTCGCCAAGCTTTGTTTGTGTGCCAAAATGTGTGCTTTGTGTGCCAGATTAATAAGGAATGGTACCATTTCGATAACTATACTAGGTGAAGATCAATTGTACTCGGATGTGATACTGCAATTAAATTTTCACAGAAAGCCGGAGAGTTTCAAAACAATCAAAATGTTTATTATGCATTTATTCAACTCTTCCGTTTCTTATTTATGAACTTATTCAACACTGTCTTCAGAGGATTCATTTGAACCACTTTCTCTTCTTCTACTCCTTTTTTGGTTTGATCTTCTTCGCTTTCAATCTCATAAAAGTTTCCACGGAGCATTCCAAAATGTCTTTCCTCGCCTTCCAAACCTTTTATAATATGATCATCGTCGTATTTTTCAATCTCTTGAATTTCCCTGCAGATTCTAAAAATCAAAACTTGGTCAAATCCCAGCATCGTTGAAATTTCTTACTTTTCCGAGCAACTGGGCTCGTTGTTGACGGTGTGCCATTTTGTTAAAAACGGATGATTCAAAATCTGTTCTGCAGATGATCTATTCCAAGGAGAAATTTGTAGAAGCTGAAATTGTAGTTTTAAATCTCAACATTTTCGAGAAGCATATTTTTTTCTTACATTTGAAAGAACATTTCTAGCATCTGTGCTAGCATCTGGAACGATTGTTGAAAAAGAAAGAGCACTTTTTGGACCGCATGAAACAATATAATCTCTGATATCAGGGGATGTGATTTTCTTGTATGCTTTCTTTTCCGGGGTTCCCAAGTTGTTAATGATCATTTTGATTTGAGAGTATGAGTCTTTTCCGGGGAAAATTTCACGACGAAGCAACATTTCAGCAAGGATGCATCCTGCGGACCAGATGTCAACTCTGAAAATTTCATTCATCTTTAGTTGGTAGCGTTTGTTGCCTATTTGCTCATTTTATTTTCTTTTGAAATCATAATGCTCATAAAAATACCATTTCAAAACTTACTGTGTATCATACTCTCCCATTGATAATAGAATCTCCGGTGCTCGGTACCAAAGTGTTGACACATATTGCTGCAAAAACATTGACATTGTAAAATTTCCCGGATTCCATTCACTTACTGATAAATGACTTCCGACACTGGAAGTTCTTAACGAAGTCGACTCAGTTGGAGCGACTCGAGTTGATGGGCCAGATCTTGCCATTCCGAAATCAGCTATTCTCAAGAGACAATCTCCATTGAGAAGTAGATTGGAGGGTTTTAGATCACGATGTATATTCCAGCCGAATGGAGATACTGTAAAACGTTTAGATTATTTTGGATTCCCAATAAGCAGTATACAACAAACCTTCAATCCGCGAATCAACTGGTAGAAGAAATATTGGAAGTGATCTTCTTTGAAACTTTGATTCGACCGTAAAACTTGATGAAGATCTGTTTCCATGAGTTCCATGACCAAATAAACATCTTTCTCAAATCCAGATCCAGTCATAAACACATCTGTGACACTTATCACATTCTCATGAGACAGTTCCCGAAGAATTCTAATTTCTCTTAATGCACACTTTGCAGATGACTTGCTTTTGTAAGCATCGCGCACTTTTTTGATAGCAACTGGTTTTTTGAATCTCTAGAAAACAAAAAGATCTTAGAAAACAAAAAACATTTTCTTTAAAAAATCACAAATAGAAATTAAAAACTCACTGTATCCAGAGCCTTGCAAACAACTCCAAATGCTCCAGCTCCAATATTATCAAGAGCTACGTATGGAGTTCCTTCAAGCCAGAAATCTGAACGATGTTTGCCGCGTGGTGTCTGGTATTCCTGATTTTCAGGAACAAAAACATTTTTGGAATAATAGTCAGGAGCTCTGTGAAGAGTAACAGTTGAGCGAGAAATAAACATGTTTTGGTGATACCTTCTTTTCTTATTAAATGTCATTTTTATCATTGAACTCCACTGCTTTTATTTGTGAGAAAAAGGTGTGGCTGATAAAAAAGGCAGACACCCCGTACCGGATGGTTCTAAAATCATTTTATTGAGTGCTTTTCAAATAACTTTTCAGGAATTCCGCGTATGATTCAATTTAATGTTCTTTGAGTAAACATTTGAAGCATCATAACAGTTTGAGGGTTACTTTAAGAGTTTAGAAGCTCTCACATGCCGTCTTATCAAAACTTCCTTCCTTTCGATTTCTGATAAAATGTTTAGCAGACTGAAATCTTCCAGATTGCTCACTCAGCAAGAATTACAGGTGTTTAGATACACTTGATTTCACATATTTCTAGTCACGTAGGCCATGAATTTCAAAATTTAAATATGTCAAATAATTTTGAAATTTCCTCTAAACATTCTACACGCTGGTACACAAGACCGAAGTCTCACAACGACAACTACCGTAACCTACCCTAAAACCTGTATTCGAAGGACCAGCCCTTCCATTGTTCCAGGGTATCTCTGAAGGGTTCCTTCAAAATTCAGCTAGTTTTTGAGAAAAAAAAGTTCTAGGAACTTTTGGAATTTCCAGAATGTTTTTCATTAAAAACGTACGGAAATTTTCAATTTCAAACAAAACATTGTGAAGGGATTCTTCAATTATAGGGGCCCTTCTATTAGAAGGGCCCCCTTATATTAAAGGGTCCTTTCTAATACAGGTTTTACGGTTTTTTTTTTGAGTTTTCTGTTTTCAGTCAACTGTCAAAAGTTTTGATTTTTCTTCTATTTGGGAGAAAAATAACAGAGAAATCGAAGAAAATCAGTAAAAAACAAGATAATAAGTCCAGAAAAGTACAAGTTTTAGGTTACGGTAGTTCTCGTTGTGGGACCTTCGGCCACGGCATTTCTCTTCCACAGCCCATATTTTTGTACTAGTATAACAGTGGACCTGAATTTTGTGAAACTGCAACGATTTTATTTTTCATCTTTCATTAAACACGTAACAATTGTTTTAGTAGTTGACATAATTTCTGGCACATGGTATTTTGATTACAAGAAAGGATTAGACATAAGTTCTTGAGAAAACAGAGAACAACCCGTTTTTATCATATTTCATCACTTATCATCTGAATTACAATTTTAAGAAGAAGAAGAAGAACGTCACGCTGCACGATCACAATCATCTTTACTTATCTTCCTGAGCTCTTGTCGAGACTTTCGCAATCTCACGATACGTTCTTTGTCATCAAGTTTTGAAGAAGAATCACTCTGGAAAAAACGATGACGATTGATTTATGTGAGGGTCAAAGGTACTACTAACTGACGCCCGTTTGTCTCGAATCTTTGGAATGAAACGACGTTTTTCACTGTATCCCTCTCGAATTCGTTCTATGTTCTGTTTATCGATAAGGTTCCTGACCTTTTTCGGAGCAGAGATTCCACCGGATAGCCTGTAAAGGAAAAACAATAGATATCATGGAAATATTCTAAATTACATGGGCGGTGCACTTGATGTACTTGACACATCTATTGGCCAATTGATTCCATTTTTGAAGATCTCCTGGACCATTGAACAACTTGTTGATGGTTCCATACCACTATCCGTTGAAGAGTTCTCCTCAGAATCTCTGAAACTTCGAATTCTGGAATCTGAATGGAAAGAAGGTTGCTCACTTTCTATGAATCTCCACTTCTAAAACAGTATCAATAGTTTCTGCAGACGAAAGACTCGTCAGAGTTTCCTCTGAATCATACTCGTCTCCATTTTCTTCTGATTTTGCTTCGCGAGCTGAAATTGAAAATTTAAAAGTGTAATTTATTATAATCAGTGTATCCTTTCGACACGGCTTCGAGAAATTTTAAGAGGAATTTCTCGAAAATTTTTCAAGGAATTTTTCGAAACGACATTTTTTCATGGTGGCCTAACTTTTGCAAGTTGAGTTTTCTAAATCATCACGTTAAAATGGTCTAGAAAACACACCAAGGTCATGTTACGCCGAAATATGGTGGCATAAAAACCCAATTTGCAAAAGTTAAGCCACCGTGCCAAAATGATCAAAAAACGAGAGAACAATGTCAGCAACAACACTTCCGCATTGCCCATTTTCGAGAAATTTCGAGGATCTCATTCTTCGCAAAATGTCGTCGACAATTTCTTGAAAAAGGCATTTTTCGAAAAGAAACACTGATTATAACCGACACTCACTCTTCTCAAACTGTCTCATCACTCCTAAATAGTCAGTTGGATCTTCTCTAGGTCCCATTTTTCCTTCTTTGTCTGGTTCGAATATCTGATTTGAATGCTCGTCAAGGTACGGAGGTGGCTCTTTCCTGAAATATACCGGACTCAGTACTATGAACTTTATTAAAGCTAATTTTTTTGAAGTGTCGTACTTTTTGGTGTGAGTTAATTTTTCAATGTATTGTGTTATAAACAAAAAAGACACGAACACTGTCACAAAAAGAACTAAGGAACATATAGAGATGTTATCTTTATTTCATTAGAAGAAACATCACATTTACACACAAAAAAGTTAGCGTCTATCCGACCAAATTTTCCGGAGCTCTTTTTTGAAGAGCATTCGCCGAAGCATCTCTTTGAGCCAACCTGGTGTCGTAGTTCGTGCCACGTCGCACCTCGAAGATTCTCGCTTCTTCGTCCAATCCGGCAACGACTTCTGTTCCAGCGTACTTTTCAATGGCATCTACATCGACTTGGACTCTGGAATTGATTATTAAAGATGATTTTCATTTCTCTTTTTAGACTTACCTTGGTGGACAAAGTGGTTCATATTGCTCGTTGTGATACTGAGCCATGAATGGATGCTGAAGTATCTGATCTGCTGAGTAACGTCTCCACGGGGAAATTTGTAGAAGCTGAATTTTCTCATTTTTATTTTAAGACGTTCAAATACTCCAACTCACATACGAAACCATATCTCTAGCTTCTGGGCTCGCTTTTGGGAAGATCGCAGAAAACGGAAGAGGAGTTTTTCGTCCACATGCCTCGATTGAATCTCTAACTAATTGCGAACTAATTTTATTGATAACTTCTTCTTCGGGATTTCCCAAATAATAAACAATCATTTTTATTTGAGACACCGAGTCCTTTCCCGGGAATAGCTGACGACGGAGAAGCATTTCTGCAAATATACAACCTGCTGACCACAAATCCACTCTGAAATGGTGATTTGATGAATTAGAAATGTTTCAAAACATACTTAGTATCATATTCCACCATTGAGAACAGAATTTCTGGAGCACGATACCAGCGAGTCGATACATATTGCTGAAAAACAAATGATTTTCAAAAAGATGTTTCAATTATCTTACTGTCATATGCCCTCCAACAGACGCATCATCTCTTACAGTGCTTGCCGATGCGCACGCTCTTGCCATTCCAAAATCTGCAATTCTTAGAAGACAATCTCCATTGAGAAGAAGATTCGATGGCTTCAAATCTCGATGAATGATTCCAGCAGAGTGCAGATACTGAAATAATAAAACCAATATGAAGGTCAACAATGTTTCCTCGTCTCCTCTTCCTCGTGTCCTCTCTCTCTCTTTTCTCTTTCTCTTGCGCTCACATTCATCTACTCCTTTTTCTCTCCTCTTCCCTCTGACACGTGTGGCCGAGGGGTTTGCGCGCGCAACTGCTGTGCGGTGGGTATTGCGTTCAATACCCTCACAGTCAAGGAGGAAAGTTTCCATGCACCACTCTGAATGATAGTGTGGATTATGGTTCACATTGAAACTGAGGCTGTTTTACTTTTTTTTCATAAGAACAGAAGAGTAACAAAGACAAAAACTACCTAGAAAACTAGCTGTCTTACCTTCAAACCTCTCAGCAGTTGATAGAAGAAGTACTGAAAGTGTTGCTCCATCAAAGTCTGTCGGGAATGGAGAATTTGGTGAAGATCTGTCTCCATGAGATCCATAACAAGATAAATGTCTTTTCCGTGTGATCCTTCAGCTGTGAACATATCTAATACAGCGATAATATTCTCATGAAGTAGTTCCCGAAGAATTCGGACTTCTCGCAAAGATCGTTTAGCCAAAGTATGAGCAGTGAATGCACGAGGAATTTTCTTGATGGCTACTTGCTTTTTTATTCTCTGAAAAACTATTTTCAAATCTGAGGCTGTATGCAAGAAAGTGGAAAACCGTTTTCCGATGTTTGGAACATAATTTTCTGAAAGTCTGTTTTATTTTATTTAAAAATGGGTTTCTGAGCAAAAAAAGACTGAAAATGCATATAATCACTATGAAAATCCTTTCCAGCCTTTCAGAAAATCATTTTCCCAACACCGGAAAACGGTTTTCCACTTTCTTGCATACGGCCTCTGACTGGATTCAAATTAAATTCCTACCGTATCCATTGCTTTGCAAACAACTCCATACGCTCCTGCTCCGACATTCTCTTCTGCCAAATACGGTGTTCCTTCCAACCAGAATCTACCGTCAAGGCGAGCATGAGACTCAGCAGCAGCAGCCGCCATTTTTTTCTGAAAAAAAGTATAAATAAGCAAATGGCGTCTTTAGTTTCACAGAAGAGATATTCAAGATCTACCTTAACTATTTTGTTTTCAGAAGGAATATTTTTTGAATAGTAATCAGGTGCTCTGTAGAGAGAAGAAGCTCTTACACTCATTTTTTCAGAATGTGTTACTTTTATTGTAATTGCTGACTCTAATAGGTTTCCTAATGGTTTATCTGAAACTTTAAAAAAGAGGTGTGCTCGTTAACAGTATGACACGAATTATCAAATATTTTGATACGGAAATTATTGGAATCACTTTTCTTAAGCATCTGCGGAGCACAAAAAGCAGAAAGTACTCACGTATTTCAGGAATGACGACGGGATGACAACGATGCTCCGTTGGTTCCGCTTATCACCATTTTCTCCCTTTTCGGCTCTTTTTTTTTTGTTTGTGTCAAGCCGAAAAACGAGTGGGTGGTGATGAAAGTTGTTTTTTTGTTCCTGAAAAAATTACAATCACTGCTATCACATAATATTTTGAACTGTCTCGGTTTGAAGGATTTTGAAAAATTAAAATTGATGTCATGGGGAGAATTAGAAGACGATTATTCGGAAAAAAAGGAATTAGTTAAAAAATTACAGAAAAAAAGGGCGAGGTGAAAATGACGAGAATGGTTATCAGTTGGGAGCGAGAAGAGGGAAAGAAATGAGAGTTAATTGCCGATTATTTGATTTTTGGAGAGCGAAGAACTCATTTTCAAATTATGTCAAGTTTCATGGAGAAATTACTCAAAAACAATAAAGTAATTAAAGATAACAACCTCTTGATCAAGACTGTACAGTTAAAAAAATCTTCAAAAAAGGGCAAAGTTGTGAATCAGTTAAGAAGTTTCAAAAGAGATTTCAAAAGGTATTCCACAATTAGAAAAAGAAATCGATAAGATCACTGAAAAAATTGATGAAGAAATTGAGAGATAGATAGTGATGAATAGTATGGGAAAGAAAGAGAAATGAAGAGAAGACGAAGACGTCTTCTTCTTCCTTCAATCAAGTTTTCTTCTTCAATTTTTTTCTATCATCTTTTTTTCTGCCTCTCTGTCCCTCTACAGTTTTGTGGAAAGAGAGATTGGAGATTTTCAAAGATTCGGAAATCATGGATGACTCACAATCAGATATTGGAGATTTGGAATGGTGTCTTTGGTGTTCTTAATTACCGTAAAACCTGTATTATAAGGGCACCTCTAATAGAAGGACCCTCTGAGAGGTGCTCGGAAAAATAGAAGGGTTCCTGTAATAGAAGAGACTCCATCAAAACGCGTTGTTTGAGCTTAAAAAATTCAGTAGGTTTCCAGTGGAAAATATTTCGAAAATTCCAAATTTCCTTGCGATTTGTGAAAACTCAGTTATTGCTTAAAACTATGACTTTTATTAGTTTTGAACGAGAATTTCAGGTTTTACGGTATTCACGATTTGTATGATATCAGAAATTCTACAAGAAACAAAAAAAAGATGGAAAAATCAAGGAAGAGTCTATTGGTTTTCTCTTGTTCTTTTCATTTTTATCTTTGTCGTTTTTTTTTGCGCACAGACAGTAGTTTTTCTTTTCGCTCTCCTATTCATCTCTCTTTATCTTTTGCCTTGTCAACAAATTCCGATTGAGCGGAGAGAAAGGTCATGTACCTCCCAAAGGCTTTTGTTTGCTGATTACTGGTGGTCTGTATTGATACACACGTTTTTTTTCAGCAGCTGCAGTTTATATATCAAGCATGTTTAGGGAAATAATTAATGAAGGAGAAAGGGGAAAATAAATAAGAGGGTAGTACAGTACAATTAAAAGAAGGAAATAAATTAATTAAAGCAAATTTAACACTTGTCTCCTCCTTTAGCTGGTCTTCTCTTTATTCCAAGAGCTCTGTTGGCTTCATCGATACGAAGATTCTGAAGAGAACGACGCTTACGTCCTCCTCCTCCGCATCCACAGCATCCGCATCCACATCCACAGCAGCATGGGCGGCAACAAGTACAACATCTAGTACAGCAACAAGTACGGCAGCAGGTACAGCAACGACGACAGCAGCAACAGCATCTGGAATAACAAGAACCATTTTCAAGGTCCTTGAAGTTAGGAGCTTACCTTGGTCTACAACAGCAACATCCGCATCCTCCACCTCCTCCACCACACCCACAACATCCGCATCCACATCCACAGCAACCACATCCTCCTTGTCTCTTGACTCTTGAGGATCCCAATGTATCAATTGAAGTTTCAGATGAAGAAGAAGAAGGAGAAGATGTTACAATGCAACTTCAGTGGAGGAAACCGGCAAAACTGCAGCCTGGACTTGTCCATAATAGGCACCAAGGGCCAGAAGTACAGAAGAGAAAACGACGATTTTAAACATGATTAGAGAGAAAATGTCTGAATGAAATGATCAGTAGATTGCTCATTTTATAGTCACCTACTTTTTTAGGTACACTTCATTTGTTTGTCCGTGCGCGCGCTTGGCAAGCTCACGCAATGAAAACTGACAGTTTCCGGCGAGAACTGCCTGACGGAAAAGTGGATATAAAAGTGATCATAGAGCAGATGGAACAGCATCAACCCCATCGTTTCAAATGTCCAAGATTGCATACTCCACTCTCGCCATTCTGGCAATCATTGCCATGTCACAGGTAGCCAAATTTTCAAGTTAAAGTAACCCAACTAGTCATTTGAAGGTTCAATCAGCTGTATTGCCAGTTTCATCAACAGAAGATGCACTTGTAACATCTTCACCTTCTTCTTCTTCATCTGAAACTTCAATTGATACATTGGGATCCTCAAGAGTCAAAAGACAAGGAGGATGTGGTTGTTGTGGATGTGGATGTGGATGTTGCGGATGTGGAGGAGGAGGTGGAGGGTGTGGATGTTGCTGTTGTAGACCAAGGTAACCTCTTAACTTCAACAAAATGCTGAAGATTATTTTTCTTATTCCAGATGCTGTTGCTGCTGTCGTCGTTGCTGTACCTGCTGCCGTACTTGTTGCTGTACGAGATGTTGTACTTGTTGCCGTCCATGTTGCTGTGGATGTGGATGTGGATGCTGTGGATGCGGAGGAGGAGGACGTAAGCGTCGTTCCCTTCAGAACCTTCGTATCGATGAGGCCAACAGAGCTCTCGGAATCAAAAGAAGACCAGCTAAAGGAGGAGACAATTGTTAGGATTGTTCTTAATTAGAATTCCATCTATTTAATTAATTTAATAAATAATGACTCACTCAAACTATTTTTTTTTTCTCAAATAGGTCTTTAAAAGTCGAGATTTTGAGCTAGTCAATAATTGGCATAATTCTTTTCGGGAGTTTTTGATACATACAAAAAAAACACAAAGAAAAAAACGTGATTGACCTGGCCAGCTAGCATTCGTAACTGGGCTCCCTAGTTTTTCTCCAACCGAATTCCAGTAGTCAGTTCTTTACCTTGAGGGGTATTCTGAATTCCCATCAAAGTCGGTAAAATGTCGAATGAAAACAGAATGGCCGACAACGTTTCATTCACTGATGTCGGTGATCCAGGAGGCGGCGGAGGTCATCAGGGCAACTCTTCTGGAATGCTTGATATGCTTGGATCCCTCGAGAAGAAGGATAAGAAAGCAAAGAAGAACAAGAAGAAGGCATCAAAAAAGAAGAAGAAGGAGAAGACAAAGTACAAAAGACAGAGAAAAGTCGACAGATATGAGTCTCAGAACTTCTTGTATCGTGTCGAAGGATCATTGTTCTGTGCTGGAATCAGTAAGTTTCTAGATCTCAACAAAATTTTTTTTCATATTTGTATTTTTCAGTTATCGGAGTGATAATGCTCCTGACATTCATCATTTTCGGAATAGTTTTCTCCGTGAGAACCAATGGAAACATGGTCAGCTACATGACTCCTTGGTGGGGAACTGCGGATGAGGCAAAGGACGAAGACGTTTAATCGACATCAAAATGTGGCATAACTCATGAAAAGTTTCCAATGTTTAGTGTAATAAACTATTTTTTTTATTTTGTGCTCTCTTTGAAATTTTGAACTGGTAATTTAGGAATATCACTGATTTTTCAAGACAGTGTTTGTTAGCTGAAATAAAATGAATTATTAAAATAACCTAAACTGAAAGCATGTGGTTGTCTCCTCCTTCCGTTGGGTTCTCTTGATTCCGATGAACCGACAAATTATTGACTAGCTCAAAATCTCAACTTTTAAAGACCTATTTGAGAAAAAAATAGTTTGAGAGAGTCATTATTCATTAAGTTAATTAAATAGATGGAATGCAAATTGAGAAAAATTTTAACACTTGTCTCCTCCTTTAGCTGGTCTTCTCTTGATTCCGAGAGCTCTGTTGGCCTCATCGATACGAAGATTCTGGAGAGAACGACGCTTACGTCCTCCTCCTCCGCATCCACAGCATCCGCATCCACATCCACAGCAACATGGGCGGCAACAAGTACAACATCTAGTACAGCAGCAAGTACGGCAGCAGGTGCAACAACGACGGCAACAACAGCAGCATCTGGAATAGGAAGACTGATTTTCAAGATTTTTGAAGTTAGGAGCTTACCTTGGTCTGCAACAGCAACATCCACATCCTCCACCTCCTCCTCCACATCCGCAACATCCACATCCACATCCACAGCAACCACATCCTCCTTGTCTTTTGACTCTTGATGATCCCAATGTATCAATTGAAGTTTCAGATGAAGAAGATGATGGAGAAGATGTTACAAGCGCAACTTCTTTTGATGAAACTGGCAATACTGCTGATTGAACCTTCAAAGACAAGTTGGGTTACTGTAACTAGAATCCAGCTACCTGTGAAATGACAATGATTGCCAGAATGGCGAGAGTGGGGTATGCAATCTTGGACATTTCAGATGCTCGGGATGCTTGTTACCTCCTCCTCATTTCTGCTTAAATACCTAGAGCGCCAACGTGTGGATTTCCTCCGTACGCGATTTCTCCGCACCTCCCACGATTTTGACAGTTTTCCGGAAACCTTTTTTCTTCTCCATCAGAAACCAAGTCTTGTTTATTTAGAGATATCAATGGTCTTTAGAAGTTTTTTCTTCTTCTTTTTTCATGCCTAATCAGCAAATTTTTGGCACGCTCGGGCACCATGCCCCCTTCAGAGTGCCTTTGTAACCCCGATTACAGCGTTGCCGCGCACCGCGGTGTCCCAAATAGGAGAACATTTCACATGTGATGTGTGCTAAAAATCTGCTGAGGCGTTTTCATATTTGTCATCTGATTTCAAATCAATAATTTCTCATCCTTTCCAAAGCGATCACTATTATGGCGGTTGTTTGAACCACTGTGTTATTCATGAGATAAATGAGTTATTCATTTTGTTGTGTTTTTTTTCTAACTCTATTCCTAAATAACCAAATTTTAAGTGGCTCCATACTACGAAAATTATAGTGATAGCAACCTGATTTTTGGTCATGTTTCTTATTTTTTCTCTAATTTTGGAGACATTGAAACTTTCTCTTGAAAAAAAAAGTGTCATGAGTCACTCTGGCAAACATTACGTTTCACACATTTTTCTTGTACCAAGTAAAGTAAAAAAGAAGAAAAAGGGCGGAGAACTAAAGGCAAGAGAACCTAACTTTTGCCTCGAATTGAGTACGTTTCGCTTCACATGTTCTGCTGTAAACAATTAAAAATAGAGAGAAGCGTGGCTGGTGGGGATGCAAGTCTTCTCTCCAGAGCTCATTTATCCTCTCTTTTTCCCTACTTTTTTATTTTCTTTTTCTCAAAAACCACCGAGAAAAGAACAAGAAGAGAGCATTGTGGTGTCAAACCTCTCGTTTCGTTTTTTTCTCGTTTATTTGTTGCAAGAAGAAGAAAACCAACTAGTTGTTGTTGTTTTTTCTCCCTATCTCTGATTTTCCGGTTTTCCTTCACCACTTCTCAAAGTGGGAAAGGAATGAGTTACTTCTGCTCGTTCCACTTGATTCGTTTTTTGTCTTTTTGTGATTTTGTATGATTAATTTTTCTGAGCTAACCCACATTCTCCTTCGTGTGGGTAATTAGGGTTATAGAAATTTTATCCCGTTTCATAGATCTTGGCGCTTAAACCCACTGGTTTGAAATTTGGCTCAGGTGAAACTGAAAGCTAATCTCAAGGTCCGCGTAGGATATCACCATCAATAGGACAAAGGGGTGGGTCCGAAAAATGATTTTTTTAATTCTCGAGTTTTGCACAAGACATACTGTATCCTTTTGTTATTTTTTTAGGTGATAAGTACCATGAACACCCTAATAAAGCGGCCTCCATGCCATCATCTTTGAACTTATATATCTCGTTTCTTGTAAAAGATATCAAAAAGCAGTCAACTAACAGAATATTTTAGACATTATAATAAAGATTTTGTTGGTTAACCACATTTTGATATCTTTTACAGGAAATGAGATATGTGACCTCAAATTTGACGGTATGTCGTTCTATTAGAGGCTGACCATCATCTAGAGGATTCATCTAGAGGCTGACCACCAAATCATAAAACACTATATAAAAAGAAAAAACCGTCTAAACGCGGACAAACAACCTTTCTTTCTGGCTTCACAGGTTTCGATTGGCTGCCATTTCGTGTGTCTGTCCTGTACAAGAGATCTTCTGACATGATATGATACATCTTTTTGGACACAAAATAGCATAATACGAAACAGGAGACTTGGCAATCTTCCAAGACTTTCAAACTCTCAAGGGGAGACTGTTTTTTTCTTATTGTGATTAAACCGAATTCAAAGATTTATTATGTATTTTTACAAGTAATTTGAGAAGTTTGCCACACATGGGCATCAATATCTACATACCAAACTCCTGCTTCTGGCCCAGACTCTGCACAGAATGCCGTCGTTGGTAACACACCCAAATTATTTCCTGGTGTCTCGGCAGTCATCTTTTCAATTATGTACCAATTAACTGTTCCAGATGGACAGCTCAGTGTTGTTCTGAATATAGACCATTTCAAATAGCTCATAATAATGTCCGAAACTTACACACAACTTTTTACGGTGAGATCAAAATAACCAACTGAATATCCTGGTTCTTCCAAAGAATAGGTTACTGGAACATCTGCTTCTGGTGTACACCAGTTTGTAACACTCGGAGTCCCATAGCCTTGACATCCAGTGTTGTATATCTTTTTGCACACCGAGCAAGCTAAATCAAAGGAAATATTTTTTGACAAGAAATTAAATTTTATTGGTATTGGACTGGGCTTATAATCATGTTTGCAATGGGCCGGGCCTGGCTTTTCATTCATTTTTAAATTAAATTATCGGGGTCAATAGAAAACTTTTTTATGTTAAATAATAACTTTCTAGAAACGAAGTGTTTTTTCACAAAAAAAAATTCAAATGTGGAGAATCCGGTTCCACCAGACAGGCCCGCAGACCAGGTCTCGGTTTTTCAAGTATGCTTATAATCAACGTCATAGAAATCCTTCAATAATTTTACACTCTGGAGCCGATTTAAAAGTTTGAAGAACTCACGAAAAGGATTCGCAGTTGTCGTAGTTGTAACTGTAATTTTGAACATTGGAAAACATCGTTTTTGAAAATATCGGGAAAAAAAAACAAAAAAAATACTTACCATCTACATTTTGTGCTGGAATACATGTCAAAGTCATCTTTACGAAACATGCAAAAATGAAATAACCAATCATTTTTGTTGAGAATAAACCTCCATGTCAGATAATATGATCACCTTTATATTTTTTCTGAGAATTCCAGTTTTTACTGAGGAACCTACGGAATTAGCAGTTGCTTAATCGCTTATCTAGTTTGATTTTTACACAAAATGATTATTGAAAATTATCAACGATCAGAGAAAGACCATTGCGTGCCATTAATACTCTGATATTTTGTTCTCTGCCAAAAATATGTTCCTCGTTTTTGATAATAAAAAACAAAAAGGGGTTTGGCTCTAGTCCGTTATTTTGGCTCGCGTCACTTCGAAACCGGTCATTTCGAAACCGTGGTAATGCAGGCGAACGGACAAAGTTCAGACTACAAAAACAACTTTAGGGTTTTCGAATATGATTTTTCTGATAGAACACATAATGAAAATCGAAAAAAATCCAAAATTTGATGTTCCCAAAAATCGAAAAATTATCGAAATTTCCGAATTTCAGAATGTGTTTTATCAGAAAAAGCATGTTTGAAAACCCTAAAGTTGTTTTTGTAGTTTGAAATTTATCCGTTCGCATGCATTATCACGGTTTTTAACCGGTTTCGAAGTGACTGGTTTCGAAGTGACTCAGAGTCGTTATTTTGGTTTTTTGAAATTTTTTTTACAATTTTGAAACTTCTAGGAATAGCAGAAATTCCAAAAAATCCAAAAATACAAAAAGTTCCGGAAACGAGAAAATTCCGAAAAGTGATTTTTTTTACTAAATTCAGATTTTCCGAAAAAAAAAATCATCAGAAAATTCAGCAAATTCATAAAAAAAATTCATAAATTCATTAAAAAATTCATAAAAAATAGGAAATATATATGATATTCAAAAAATGGCAATACTTGGATCTGAACACATAATAGAGAAAATTCTAGAATAATTGTTGTCTTTTCTAAATTTTCTGATAACTTCTCTTTGGAAAATGTGATTCTGAAAATCTCGAGTAAATCAGGACATAACTTTCCCAGAAATTCATAAATTCGGATCATTTTTGAAATTTCAAGCTGGTCCAATTGTTCCAATATTGTTTCAACCCATATGTCATCCTAAAACAACTTTATGAAAAAAAATTTCTTTCGGATGCTCAGTTCCGGAAGTTTTCAGTTCTTTGAAAATTATTTAAATTCCGTTCGAAAACTAGAGAATCGAAATCCGTTGTAACATTTTATTCAGATCAGATCAGACTAAAGTTCACTCCTCCGTTGTCTATCCATTACGCAACAGACTGATTTCTTGTTTATCAATGTGATATGATAGCGAGTGTTAAGCTTTGTGTAGAAACTGGGAAATGTTAAGAGCTGACATTTATTTGAAGTGATTTCTATCATTTTTATTAATTTATAGAAAGGGAAATCGGATTATATAATTATTTAGTTGAAGATGATGCGATCCGTTCAAATTAGGGTGTGAGTTACAAATAAAATGATGATTTAGTTGTTTTTACAAGTCATTCGAGTTATTCCGTTTGCTTCATGACCGTTTAGATATGACGTCCATCTCCCTGCTGATGTCCCTGATTCTGGACAGTACAGTGTGGTCGGATCCAACCCGTAATTTTCGCCTTCCTCTTCGTAACCACTTACCAAAAACACAGAATGGGTACCAGAAGGACAAGACAGTGTTGTGCTGAAACTAACTCATACATTTCTTAAATTTATGTCTGAATCTCATACGTGCAAGCCATTTCGTCAGTGAGGAACTCATAATCAACGTAAAAACTGGCAGATTCTACGGAATATTGAACAGGGACATCTTCTTCCTTTACACACCAATTAGAGGCACTTGGAAGGCCTGTTCCCTGACATCCAGTATTATAAATATTAGAGCAAGTTGAGCAGGCTAAAATTAGACGATATGAGATGAAACTACTTTACGAAACTAACCAAATGCCGTTGTGGTAGTTGTTGCAACTGTAGTCGTTGTTGTTGTAGCTGGAAAATGTTTTGAAAAACTCCAGAAACCTACCAAGCTGAAATGAACATCATCTTCTATAATACTTACTCTCAATATTCTGCGTCGGAATACAAGAATTCAAGACTTTAATCATTGAAAAGTATATAACAATGATCAGTAGAAACATTTTGTTCTAGATCAGACTGAACAGGTGAACCTTCTCTTATTTGTCCTCATTATCAGCCTGTTACGTAATCGGATATTTCCTGTTCCTCCCATGTACCGAGGGTTTTTTTGTTTCAATGACAGCCAGCATCCAGACAAGGAATACGAAGTTCATTATCAACGATCAGATAGAGGGCTTTTTTGTTCAAATGTTGCTAGAGACAAATGATATCACCCCGATTGATTTGTATATCAAAATGTGGATATTGACATGGAACATCCGTTGAAAATTGTCCACATGTTTATCAACAATTGCATTTTCGCATAAAAAGCTCCAACTGATTAAGTTACGGTATATGGGGTACGTATATATGGTTGTGGTTGTAGTCATCAGGGATGTCCGGAAGGACTTTTTTGATAAACGGAAGTAGGAATAAAACAATTTTTTCGGGATCTGGAATTCGTAATCCGGACAAATAAGGGTTTCACGGAGTTAGGAGTACGGAATCCGGAATAAAACCTGCGCGAATCTGGTAGTTATAGAATCCGTTGCAGTTTTTGGATTTTTGTGGACGATGTTGAAGAGGAATTATACACGGAAGATGGACAAAGATTGTCCCTCTAATTGAAGAGCCCTTGTAATACATAGAAGGGCCATCCGGAATTATCTTGAAACAATAAAAAGGCCGGTCATTCTAATACAGGTTTTACGGTATACCAGTAATGTCTATCGTGATGTCTAAAGGAGGAACGTCTACCCCTTCTATAAATCTGTAGGGAAAATATTCGAAAATTAAAAGGATTTCATAAGTTCTAGACAAAACAAAAATCTGAGATTCTAAATGCTTTGTTGGAGCACAAAAGATGGCATAACTGTAGCTTTATGAATCATTTTTCTATTATGATCATGTTCAACATGATAAGTATAAAAATCAAAGAACATTTACGGATATTTACATGCAGCTGATATAATAGGAGTGTCTGATCCATCGATTCTTCCATACCACAGTCCAGCAGCCTCAGAACAATAGAGAAAAGTGGGAGAACCATCAGAGTTTCCATTGATATCTCCAGAACCGCCATCTAGTCTTGCGGCTGTTCCAGATGGACAAGCCAACGTTGTTCTAAACTGTTGATTGCTTCTAAGTTATATAGTTTCAACTATCTTACTGGCAAGAGTCCAATGGAATTCCGCATGTTGAGCAACCACCGAGTGTGTACGAAACTGGAACTTCAGCTGCAGTAAGGCAGTACATTGAAGGGCTTGGCATATTGAAACCTTGGCAAGTGCTACTGTAGATTGGTGTACACGAGACGCATGCTAGAATCAAAACAAGGATAGTTTGGGTATATTAGGCCGTAATGGATTACGGTAGGGGGTTGTTGTTGTGACCGTTGTAGTCGTTGTGACCGTTGTAGTCGTTGTAGCTTCAATCGTCGTTGTAGTTTCAATCGTCGTTGTAGTATCAGTTGTTAATCTTGTTGTAGTTTCGGTTGTTGCTAGGAAAGCCGCAACAGCAGCTGCCTGTTGTGGAGTTAGTTGTACACCAGCTTGAGAGAGCCGAATGACTTCCTGAATAGATGCTGAAATATGATGTTCTGCAAATGTGGACTGTAATTTCTGTTTCAGCACTTTCATCTCTTTTTGTAATATACTTGAAAAAATCAGAAACTCATATCTATTTCTCTAATAGAAGCTCATGGGTTCTATTTTTCCTCTTTATCAGGGTGGGTTTCTATTAGAGAAATATAGGTATATATTGTTAACGTACTGGTCCCAACGTTTTGAGTAGGAATGCAAGGCATCACAGATTTCCAGAATATCAGAGAAGATATAATAATTTGTGGGAACATTATGATAAATAGTTATAATAGAAGCAAAAAAGAAGGATCGGGACAAGTTTTGCGATTACTCCGGACTTACACTCTCTGCTGAAATCTTGTTTTTCTTGCCTGGGTGGAGGAAGTCAATCGCGAAAAAATATGATTGATATTATTCTGGTACAAAAAATTGGAGTTGTGCAAGAACCGGAGGCCGTGGTGGAAGAACCCAAAGCGACAACTACCGTAACCTAAAAACATTTTTATTTTCAGGATTCATTATCTCGATTTTCGTACGTTTTCAGATTTTTTTCAAATTTCAAATTTCTATTTTTTACTCTTCGGGACGAATAACAGTAAAAAAGGAGATAATAAATCAGGAGAATAAAAATATTTTTAGGTTACGGTAGTTTTCGTTATGGGCCCTTCGATCACGGCCACCAGTGTTAAACTTCCACAAATTCGATTTTTTTACCAGAATAATTCAAAAATCAAAATCAATTCTGAAACCATTTGAATTCCTTAAATTACAGTACATCTTCAATCCTCGTTTGCGGCTTACTTCTATTCATTCTCCAACTTTTTTTATCACTCTGAAATTGTTCCTTGTGTCTTATCCATTCGCACCTATACTCACAAACAAAGATTTTCGGTTCTGTTTTAATACTTCTTTGTTGTTTTTCCCACTTTCCTCCTCATCTTTTTAACCCAAGTTTTTCCTACTTCGCTCAAGTTCGATTTTCGAATACTCCATTAAATTTGCAACATTTCTACATTATAAACCAAGGTATACAAACAGAAAGCAATCAATATTATGTGGTTTTACATTTGTTCTAGCTCATGTAAACAAGCCCTTCCACATAATGAGAGTACGGGCGCCGGGGAGAGAATTCAGATAAGTAGAGTAAAAATGCATGAAGTGAGAGAGCATTAAGATTCGAGAGACGACATAGAGTGAGTGCGCGAATGACCCCCATCGCGCCGCGATTAGTTGCTTCCGCGTGGGAATTTCTCACGTTTAATGTGAAGTTGTACAGGTTTCACCCAAATCTTGATCTTTTTTCGACAGGAAAACAATAGGAGGAGAGATGACAATCAGTTTTGTAGAAAAAAAATAATGTGATCACATAAATGTTTCATTCGAAATCAAAACGCTTTTTTGTATATTTATCTTTGTTTCCTTTCAAATATGTCATACATCGTTTTCATCAACTCACGGTGTGTCAGGAAGCCTGGCCGGAAAACGCGCCCCGGCAAACTCGTAGGCCAGAAGAAATTTTATAATTTTGAAGTGGACGTTTTTCGACCAGTCTTCCTGACACAGCGTGCCACCTTACTAAATATCAGCAACAATTTTATTTCACTAAAAAATGTAATATTTTTTGAGAATCGTGATTCGTGTCGAGGTCCCATATACTCATTTAGTGTATGTTCCTTGAAAATGTACTGTAAGAATATACGGTAATCCCCGAAGTCTCTTGGAGAAAATCTGATTTTTCTTTGTTTTTTTTCGCAAGCTTTTAAAACCTGAATGGAAGCAACAAAAAAAGAACAATTGAGTTCTTTACTAGCATTCAAAAGACCCGTATAAACGAAAATCTAATTATAACAGCTACGAAATACGAAAGATAAATTTTCGCTGACTCACTCGTCTTTCTTCATCATTTTAGTAACTTCTTCATCATAATTTTCTCATCTTAGTCACACCAATTTACATTTGTAAACCATCTGAAATGTTATTTTTTTTTTGTTCTCCTTTTTCTCTTATTCTGTCTGCCAGTTTGTTCAATGATTCACCGCGTTTTTGTCGTCGTTTTCACACCTGAAAAGATTACGAAACCGTCCTAAATACTAAGTTTCAGTGGTAAACCCGCACTTCGTCGTCTTCTGAATTAAAGACATCTGAATCAGAAGAATGGAGAGCGAAGATGACGAGTCCAGACGGCCTCGGACGACCTCGAGTGGGCATCTAGAACCAGTGGACACAACCGAACACAACAGTGGTGGGTTTTTATTGCTAAACATCATACTTTCGACTGAAAAATATTGATTAATCTACAATCGCAAAGCAATCATAAAACTTGTACTTTTTGAAAAAAAAGTTTCTCCTTTTCTCCTAGTCTTAAACGTCTCCCGTCAACACTCCAAAGTCAACAACATCTTTTCCTATTCTATTCCAGTCGACTCATCTGTAATGCATGATCGAGGAATACCAGGACTTCTTCCGGCCACACAAGCATCTGAAAAACAGAAGAAAGCCGTTATTCGGTTCCGTGATCATGAGGGAAGAGCTGATAGCCCACCGAGCAACCTGAATGTAAGGCGTGACAGCAAGACAGTGCACATCTATGAGGTATTTACTGAATGGTTTTTGAAAAATTGCAAAGCAATTGTTTCAGATTGCATCTCCACAGTCGCTAGAATATGATGACAGTGACAGCTCCGATGATGACGAGATTCAATATTGTGACTGTGTCGCAGCAGCTCTTCAGCAATCTTTGCCTGGAACCCCTGGACGGAAGGGTATTATTCCATACATGTCAATCTATGATACGCAGCAACAAGCTCGTCGTCGTGGATATTGGATTCCTGGCGTTCCCGTCAATGCGAAAATTGTAAAAGTGGAAAGAAACACGGATCGTGGAATCCATTTTATCAATACACTACTGTAAGATTCTGGAAAATATCTCAAATTGTATTTTCGCATATTTTTCAGTTACACAATCGAGCTAGAACATGGTCAATTCCGATGGAGCGTCGTTCGTAACTACAAAGACTTCACACTGCTCAACAATCGTCTTATGGCTCATCGAGCTCGTGAACAGTTTATGGCGCCCATCAAACGGTATGAATTATAAACTATTTGTTGTTTTTCATTTAATTTTGCTTTAATAAGTTTTAAGCCTTTTTTCGATTCACCCCACTCGCCAACTAAACTTTTTTACTAACTCCCCCATTCAGATTCCGTGGAAAAGTTCAGGATGAGTAAGTTTCCTTGAAGCTGTTGTGATTGTCTTACTCTTGCCTGTCAAATGCTTGTGTATGGATGCATTGATGTATCTGTGTTTCAATAATTTAGTTTATTATGATATTTCAGAACTCAAGAGAGGTTCGATAATTATCTGGAGCACATGGGAATCGATATTATTCCGGACCACAAACCCGATTGTCCATACTCAAACCAAAGTTCGAAGCGGAAGAGACATCCAAAAGTAAGTCCAGATTCATTTGATTTTTATGCCACCTATGAATATTACAGCTGGAAGTACTAAAACGAGATTCCGACGGAATTGAAACTCCAAGGAACACTTCTGCTCCGTTGGCATCAGTCGATTCACCTGGAGACGTTGAAGAAGCTGTGAAGACACAAGTCGATATGCAGCAGGCTGTCCAATCTGGTATACTCGAAAAAGAAGCAGACACCACTGCTAATTCTGAAGGAAGTCCGAAACGACAGCGGCGCCAGCAACGAAAGAAAGACAGGCATACGCTTCCGCGTTTCCCAATGATGCCAGATTCAATGGTCACCAATTTAGAACATCGAAAAGAACTTTTGGAGAATTGGCTTCAAATGGTTCTTCACATTCCGATCAACAGAAATCACCACGAGACTGCTGAGTTTTTGGAAGTTTCGAGATACTCATTTGTCAATGAATTAGGTGGAAAGCACACAGAAGGTTTCGTGAAGAAGAGACCAGGAGGTTCGAGAGTCTTCCTCGGCTGGAAACAATGTTGTGTCCGATACTTCCTACCATGGAGCAAGAGGTACCGTATTTTTGAAGGAAATTTCTAGAAAAAATTTCTTCAGATGGCTGATGGTTCGTGATTCTTTTGTTGCTTATATGGATCACCGCAGTGAGCAAATTCGAATGGTGTTGCTCATGGATCGGGACTTCAAAGTAGCTGCCGGTGGAAAAGAAACTGAAGGAATTCCTACAGGATTAATTGTTACCAACACTCAACAGTAAGCGCGATTTTTGAAACTTACAAACTATGGCAATTTGCAGTGAGCTTCATCTGAAATGCCGTCGAGTACAAGACACTGCCACATGGAAATCTATAATCGAGCAAGCAATGGGTGGAATCGGAAACGTTTGGCTTCAACCGCATCGCTTCAGTTCTTCGTTCCCTGTCCGAGAGAATTGTCATGCGAAATGGTTCGTTGATGCTAAGACCTATATGGAGTATGCAGCTGATATGATGGAGTTGGCTCGCGAAGAAATTTATATCACCGATTGGT